TCCCACAAGAGCAGCTGAGATCATAGAGCAATGCCCTGACATGATCCTTTTATCTCACCCTCCAGCAGCACTAAACCCAGCCTAAACCGCGCCGGTGTGCTCGGCGCTGTGCAAAACCCTTCTCCCTCCTTGCTTTTACAATCAATTTAAAATTAATCCAGCTGGAAGAAAAAAAACCCTAACCCTGCCGACCATTGCATTGATGTGTGCTTACTGATTTTTATTTTTTAAAATTATTATTTTTTAAAATTATTATTTCCCCCCCCCCCCGCAGGCAGCAATTTGGGAGGAGGAAGGGGCCGGCTCAGGTGTGGCATTAGGACCCAGCGGATCCCCCATGTTGGAGGTAGGAGGTTTTTGGGTTTTTTTTAACTCTCATTTCGGAGTTTTTGAAAGCAGAGAGAAGAGACCAAGGCGGTGGGCAAGGGCAGAACCAGCACTAACACCCAGAGCGGTAAGGACCAGGCGAGAGACACCCCCCCCATCCCAGCCCCCTGCAGCAGGCAGGGATGCTGGGTCCCCCCCAGCAGCAGATGGGGCTGAACCCCTTCTTTGGGGCTTTGCAAAGTCGCCTTAAAAACTCCATCGGTCGGGGCAGGCGAGCTCACGAAAGCTGTTTTCGACCTTTTAATCTCATAAAAATAAAACCCACCTTATTTTTGGGGTGCTGAAGAGCCAGCAGCCGTGGGGGGGGACCCCATCTTTGCAGCCTGACCGCTGTTGTAGATTTTTAATCACTTCAAAAAGTCTAAAAATACCCTAATGTCTGAAGGAAGCCGTATTTTTTTTTTTCCATCCTGGAAAGAGACTGTAAAAAAGGGATATTTTAATATTTCTGTTTATTTTGCCCCCCTGGGGGAGGACGGGACCCTAATGAAAATGTGATGTGTGAAAACGGGGATGGGGGAAAGAAGTTTTTTTACCTTTGGTCGAGGGCCAAAAAAAATTTGAATCCTTTCATATTCCCTTTGTTCTCCCACTCTCTGGCAACTGGAGAGCTTAAAAAAAAAAAAAAAA